TGTTTCCTTCATGATATTAAACGCCACACTCCTCGTCAAAGCTAGTGTAATTTTACCTCTTGCCTTTTTGTCCTTTGAGTCCCAAATTGCTTCAGCAGCCTTATCCATTCCATCCGGTTTCTCTTCCAGTACCATGTCCAAATCGCACTCACCAAGCAACGCCTCTATTTGCATTTTCCACCATGCAAAATCAGTACCGTTGAACTTCTCGATTCGAACCCTCCCGTCCTCGGCCATTGCAAAACGAGAGAAAAAAAACCAGAGAAAAAATCAAGGAATAACGGCCTGAAACCAAGCAACCTTCAAAAGAAAACAAACCCTAAAACAAAGAATCCGAACCAACGAGTACCAGGTCCAAAACCAGAAACCCTAATCGCCAAGTTCACCTAAAACCGACCGAACAGCCCCTGACCAGATCCGAACCAGCCCCTGATCAGATCTGAACCAGCCCCTTAACCGCGGCAGCAAAACAGCAGCAAAAACAATCGTGAACAGCCTTCTTCTTGCGATTGATCCTGTGTAACCGTGTGTTTAACCAAACCAAGGCTCCGACCACTTGTTAGGAATCAGAGATCAGAGGCGGTCAAGCGGAAGCGAACAAACACCCACACACAAATAGCAGAAAATAAGAACACGAGATTTAACGTGGTTCGGTCAGTAACCTACTCCACGGGTTGCAACTAGGGTTTATCTTTTATTAGGTGCTCAGAGATTATAGTTACATGATTGGGTATTTATAAGATATAAATTAGGGTTAACAACTTGCTAAACAAGAAACAACTAATGGGCCCTTTAATTAATAACTAAAACCGGCCCCCCATATTTCTTCTCTTTAACCGACCGGGCTTAAAGCCCAAAGCTCTAAAGCCTTCACCGAATAACCCAACAAGCTTTTGTTTCGGATATAAGCAGTTTGGAATGTTTGAGAATGTCTGATTTTAATCTTTATCTAGAAACAGGGAAGCAGAAGCTGAGCAGTGCCTCTGAGAAATTAAGATTCTGATGTCAAAACAATCACTTTTCAAAAAATAAGCACATCCAAACACCCTCCAAGGCCGATTTTTATATTATTAATGTGTGAAATGGAGTAGAAGCGATCCATCAATAAACACTTCTTTTGTTCATCTAAGAACATACCAAGTCTGCAAATGGAATCAAAATAAGATTTTGATTTCGAAGATGGGAAAACGCCCTCGATCTGAGGATGCCAAATGCCCAGAAGAAGTCATCCAATAATATAGTGAATGGGAAGAGCTGTTTGTTTGGAAGTACAACTTCTTCTACAACTTTCTGGAACTCAGTTTGAACATAATCTTTAACACCAATAGTCGTGCTTAACAGCTGAGTACCTGCGAAGTCTCGTTCACTAAATCAATTGCATCATTACAAACACATGAAAGGGATAGAGAAACTTGTTTGTTAAAACAGGGAAAGGAAAGTTCTAATGGCGTGTTTGGATCCATGAAATTCTAGGGATAGGAAAGCAAATGTCAAGATAATTTACAAAGGTTATCTCTCCTAGTAATTTTGTTCATTGCTAATCGAGCTAAAGGAGTCATCATTGACAATTTTTTTAGTTTTGAGAACATCATGGACTAAAGATAAAAGGCACACTAAAATTCCTCTGTTGTGTACTCTATATGAAATTTTGGGCAATAAATGCAACAATGCATCTAGGGTGGGTCTAACAGGGGTAACACTGCGTACATTTTGACCTCCCAAACCTCAATAGTGTTGGGATTATGCTGGGTTGTTGTCATTGTTGTAGACTTCTTATTAATATACAACCATGAAGTGTGAGTAAAAATATCTAAAATGAATATACTGTGTTTAGCCTAAGTTTTATTTTACCCTCATTCTCTTTCCCTATCATCTAAGGGGATCCAAAACCCAAATGCTCCCTAAGAACCTCCAATGGCACAAATTCTTTCTAACAAGTGTTTTTTTAAAATTAAAAGGAGAAAATGTTACCTTGAAGCTCAGCAAGCTCCTCTTCTGACCTGCACTGAAAGGGGCATTTCAAGTGACACTTATCAACACAACCTATAGATTACACAAGCACAAAACAGCTTGCCTAATTAGTAACCATAAGCATCCAAAAATTCCTTGTTGGTACCATGAGTTAGTCACCCTAAACCTATCTATTGACAACACTGTTACATTCGGACAAAAAAAGCTTATGTTGCCACTAGGACTACATTTTTGGAGTGACTATAGGCACACTTTGGTCACATTATGAGCTTTTGGAGGAAAACCATACTATGCGAGTCGGCTTATTTGGATGACGACTTTCCACCAAACTTCCAAAATGTAAACAACTTGTGCTTAAATTTCATCCAACAACAACAACAAACCCAGCAGAAACCCACACAAGGTAGACTCTGTAATGGGTGATTTTACACAAACCTTGCCCTTACTTGGAAGTAGAGAGGTTGTTTCCAAGAAACCCCGACTCAAATAAAAGTACATGCAAACAAACCAACCTCCGTAGCACTAACGAAGTACGAGTAAAGAGAGAAGAAGCACACACAACAAATTGAAAACTCAAACAACTAGATCCAAAGCACACAACCACACCCTATAGACTATGACATAAAAACCAAGCCAACAAAAACTACAAACTCCCAAAATGTGAAATTAAAAGTTGTACAAAACTACAAATACAGATAGAGTTGGTAAATTATGAACTCTCATAGTATCCATTTGACATAAAACCTAAAGAATAGTACTAGTATCCAAATTAATCATCATAAGAATCATAGAATTACAAAACAAAACAATTAAAAAAAATCAGACCTACCAGAAAACAGTAGAATTGGTGCAGTCAGGGAGGGAGTCCAGGTAAGATCTCCAAACAGAATCATCCATTTTCTTCTCTCTCAGCAAGAACAGAGCCACAGCAACCCAAGGCTTCAACCCAGAGCACACGCGCCCAATCGCAGAGTTTCCAACGGTGTCCGGACTGATCCAGAACCTTCTGGGCACCTCCAAAACGACACCGTTTCTCCCAATGTCCTTGGTGGCGACCAACCCTAGACCTTCTGGGACGATTCCTGGCCTCACTGGCGTCTTCTTAGACACCACTCCTTCTTCAGATCCCCACTGCCAGAGAGTCTTGACGGGCTCGGGAAGTTCGTGGCTAGGTTCGGAAGGGTGGGCTGATGCTAGAAAGACTGGTCTGAGATGGTGATGGAGGTAAGGTCTTGTTTTCAGGAAGAATAATTTGTGTTTTGGTGAAGAAGAAGAAGGTGAGGAAGAAGCAGGGTAGAGAGGGAAAAGGGTGGCCATTTTTTTTATCTTCCGTTTAATTTGGTCTTTGCCATTTTGTTCTATAATTCAATCTGCAAATCATTTTTGAGACGATTTAAAATACAGAATAACTTATGTCAAAAAAAAGAAAAAAATTGTCTAAAATAATCTGAAGGTCTTTAAAAAATAATCACATCTTTTACAGTCATGAATAATAATTCTAACTTTACTAAAATTTGCAAGCTTTGGGTCATCGTTAAGTTGGTAACGGCGGGTTCAGAGAAACGATTTGTTTTGCGCAACAAAATGAAAATGAGAATTATTTTTTATATTTTTTTAAAAAACTTTTATTTAAATATTTAAAATTACTTTCTACCTCCATCATTTCTTTTTTCTTTTTTAAAGATTAGTCTTAGTTTTAAAAATAAAAATAATAGATATAAAATAACAAAAATGAGAAAAGTAAATAAAATGATATAAAAATTATAAAATAAATAAATTAATCAATAGAAATTGATTTTAAAG